GTGTGTGGAGAGAGACAGAGACAGAGGGGGGCAGCGCAGCAGTCAGCTCTCCCCACCCGAGGCTGAAGGTCAACAGACGATCATGCTAAGCTTGCTAACTGTTCCACCCTCTGACTGCTGCAGGGGCGTGTCTTAGAGAGAGGCTTTTATACCAGAACACAGCCGCTGTGACGAAACTGTGCACAACCACGTCACAGTGCAGAGCCGTTAACCAATATGCAAATTAGCCTGCAGTACCATATGAGCAGCAAAAAGACGTTTTTAGACCAAATATTACACATTTGAACAAATACGCACAAAAACATCAAAATTACACAGAAATTGCACAGAAACAGTATTATATAACATTTTAGATACATTCTAGACAGTTTATCAGCTAAAAAAAAAAGTTAATTTTGGGGTAAGTTACTCTTTAAGTAATAAGGTATTTGTACTTAGTTATTTGACACCTCTGTTCTACAGATGAAATCAACTATATTCTGATAAAAAAAAATTACAAAAGATTTTGTCCCATGTTTGTGGCGCCTCCTAGATGCCCCCTTAGGGCCTGCCGTGAGTTAACAACATTTACACAGAAAGAGTCACTTGCTTCAATGTCAGTCTCTCTTTAAGTCCATGTGTGTTGTGTTGAACCAGTTGTTGGGGGTCTAAATGAAACAATGGAGAAACAACCCAAACGAGCTCAGGTGGAAGAACCAGATCTCCGAGTTACCTGTCAGGATCTGATTCAAGCTTCACGTGAGCTCAGCTCACAACAAACTCGGTGAGTTTTTAGTCCATTTAAGGGAAAAATGACTAACTTTAGAATAAAGTCGGTTTTATTAGAACAAGTTAAGCTCGTTATCAGAGTGTGACGTAAGACAGGTGTGTGTGAGTGTTTTACCTGAACCAACGATGAGAGTTTTGGCTCCGCAGCAGTTAAAGCAGTGCAACAAGGACTTGGACTTAATGCTGGTGTTGAGGAACGCCACCGAGCAGCCGACCTTCGCCAAGCCGAACCACACGCACAGGAAGTCGGGCTCGTTGTTCATGAGCAGGGCGACACACTCCCCCTTCTTCAGGCGCACCTGATGGAGGAAGACGCCGGCCAGCCTGTTGCTGCGCCGCTCCACGTCCCGGTACGTGTGGACGGTTCCGTCGTAAATCACGAACGGCTTGTCCGGCACGCGCCGAGCCTGCTCCACGAACCGGTCCAGCACCGTCCGGACGCTGGACGTCAGCTTGAACAGCTCCAGCTTCACCCCGTACCTGACCACCTTCCACAGGAAGAGGACGTCCGCCCAGAAGAACGGGAAGAAGAGTTTCTGAAGGACGTGAGTGGACAGAAGCACGGCGGCCACGGTCCACAGCCAGCCCAGGCACCAGGTCATGTCGGCGGGTGGGAAGAAGTGAGGAAACTCCGTGGAGACAACCGGCGTGGAGTGGGAAGTTCACCACACACACACTGCCGCACGAGCCATTCATTAACACACACACACACACTGACAAGTGATGTAAGCGCATACAGCCTCCTTGTGTAAGCCAAGTTTAATCAAGTGTGACAGCACGAGACGGGAAAAACGGAAACGGTCCTTTCACAATAAAAGCCCGCAGTTATTTGGGTGCGAACAAAACAGTGCTAAATTTAAAGATGTATTTTGTAATGCTAGGGATTCTGGGCGAGAATTAAAAAGGAAGCAGCAAAATTCACTCTGATCAAAGTGAGATGTAACTGGTTCTGCAATGATGTGTGTATATTTTAATTTTTGGTATTTATGAAATGATAAATATTGTGTGTGTGTGTGTGTGTGTGTGTGTGTGTGTGTGTGTGTGTGTGTGTG